GGAAGTGCTTAGTGGATGATTCCGTAGTGGTACCGTTGGAGGATATTCAGCTGGAAGACCTCCTGAATTATATTGAGAGACCGATGGGAATTCTTGACCGGAAGATGAAAACCTTGAGGAACAAGGTTGCTGAATTGGTGAAAGTTTAATGGTAGCATCGCAAGGGTTCTGAGTGGATGTGGGAGCGGGAAGTCAAGATGAGGGAGCACTATCCGAAGTTATTTGGAGCAGCAGACGTTGAGGAAAAAGTATGATTCAAGTGGAGGAGAATCGTTACATTTGTATTCTGGTATGTCTCCTTTTAAACCCTAAAGTGAAAATTCTATACAAAATTGGTCCTTGGTTAGTACGTTGGGTGTACTCTTTGGTTACGTTTAGCATACTAGCGTTAAGTTAGTCGTGAACATCACCCACGTACATTGGGCGTATGTGGGAGTATGTTGGGTGTACACATAGATTGAGCAAACCCTAATTTTAAGGGTTTTCACCCTATTTAAACCCCATTATAGCCTCTTTTTAACCAGCCTCCACCTTCCCTTGTCCAAAAATCAAAACCCTAGTGTGTTTTTGAGAGTTTTGATCCATAAAGAGTGTTTGTTTGTGCTTTGTGAAGGAGAAGAAGAAGTGGACCACTTAGAGTTGTGATTAGAGCTTGAGAATCCGAGATTAGCTCATTATTTGCTAGTCTTTTAAGGTAAAAAGCTCACATCTTGCTATCTTTGATGCTAGATCTAGTTATGTTGCTATTTTATGGTTTTTGAGTCCTTGGAGTGATTGCTAATCTTTGATGCTAGATCTAGGTTTCTTTTAGTCTCTTTGTCTATAAAGATGCAAGCTTTGTGGTGTTTATGGACTCATGCATGTGCTAAGACCCTTTGTTAAGCTCGTTTGAGATCTAAAACCCCATTAATCCATACATGCACATAAAGTTGCCAACTTTACTTAATAAGTCACCCTAAGGAAGTCAAATTTGAGAATTGGGTCAAGGTGTTCACCGAATAAGAGCTTAATGAAGAAAGTAGGCATCTGAGGTGTACGATGGGCGTATGAGCTAAGTATGCCCCGTGTACTCAATAGTGGGCTTAAGAATTTTGGGATTTTCGGTATTGGTCCTATGTTGGACCTTAGGATTCTAGGGCTTTGTTGGCCATCATAATTCTATCTTTGGGGACGATGCTATTTTATTAGACTCTTTTGGTTTAAGGCCACAAAGGGATTTGGGCCCAATTTGGAAGATTAGGCCATATTTGGGTGATCATTTTGGAATTTGGTCCTTTTTGGATAGTTGGCTTGGCCCTGGCCATGGGACAAGTTAAGTAAAGGGTAAAAGGTCTTTTAGCCTAGTTTAGACTCTTAGTGTGAGTCGGGATCCAATTATCAATTGGATGTTATTTTATGTTGATAGCGCGGAGATTTTAGCGGAACAGCAACTAGAGATTTATCTGTGCGATTCAGCACTCTGAGGTGAGTTTTCTCATTGTATTTAGCGGGTCGAAGGCACCAATGTCGGCCCATTGATTATTATGTATGTTGCTAGATGGTTGCGTGACTCTTGCATATGTATATATATATATATATATATATATATATATATATATATATATATATATATATATATATATATATATATATATGTATATATATATATATGCCAAGCAGGCCTCGATGTCGGGCAAGTCCCGATGACTGTATTGAATGCTATTGTATTTGTAATTATAACATGTGTTAGTATGATTATATGTTTATATGTTCATATTGGGCAGGGTCCAATATCAGGAGGGTCCTGGTGATTGACAGATTTGTAAACCGAATGGGGTTCGATGCCGGTGGGGCCCGATAAAGGAAGGGGGCCCAATATATGTTTATTATGTATGGTAGGTGGTATTTTGGGGAATTCACTAAGCTTTGTGCTTACAGTTTTTAGTTTATGTTTCAGGTACTTCTGGTTCGAATGGGAAGATCCTTGTATAATATTCTACCATAATGTATAAAGTGTTTCTTAACAGTAATATTCTTGCATAATGAATTAGTGTTTTTTAGATTATTATTCATATTATTTTTTCAGAATGAATGTAATAATTGTTTATAGTGTTATTGTTTACGAATTATTGTAATTAGTGATTCTTAAAGAATAAAATACGCATTCTTTATAAAATGTTATTCTTGATAATACGTTGTGTAATTCGTTAAATATATTAATTATAAAAATAGCTTGAATGGAACCATATTCTATAAGAATGAAATCGAAAATATATTTACTGGTTTATGGTTGATTTTCTGTTATTCTGTCAGAATAAAACATGTTATTATTAAAAATTATATTAGAAATAAATTTGAATTAATTTAAAAAATTCTGATTTTTTAAAAAATAAGGGTATTAATTATCCATTAAAATCCGAAAATTTCCTTTTCCAATATATATTAATTGATTAAAATACCGTTATATTAAAATTTATGTGATTATATAGTATATATTATTACCCTAGTGTAAGACCTTTTATTTTAGATCATCACCATTTCACTCATTGGTCTAAATTATCCTTACGAACATACAATAGATGTACAAATCATATATATATATATATATATATATATATATATATATATATATATATATATATATATTAAAAAATTAAATCTTAAAAAGAAAAAGCAAGGCATGTGGGTCAAGTTGACACTTAAAACATGTTTTTTTAACAAGATAACAAAAATCTACTACCACTACCGTAAAAAATGACTAATATATTAGAGGTTGGTTAAACTGTGATCAATGATTATAGACGTTTATTTATCATTCTGTATAAATATGCTATTCTATTTGTATATATATGGTAGAGGGGCACATTTAATCATTGCTTGTCTATTAGTTTTCAGTTCATCTCTTTAACGCGGGGTAAAGTAGTTTGGGAGCTTGCAAGGCTCATAACCTTGAGGTCACGGGTTCAAATCCTGTTTCCACAATACTATTTGTCAAAAAAAAAAAATGATATGTTTTACTCTGATAACTAGTAATTAGTTAATACTTTTAGTTTTGGGCTAGAAGGCAAAAAGAGGAAGGATAAAATCACTACACTATGAAGGTTAACTATACCTTTCGCATTTTACATTTTGTGATATTAGATATTAAGTAAATGACTTCATTTTCGGCGGATAGCGGGAACCGAGCCCGCATCTTCTCCTTGCCAAAGAGAAATTTTACCTGTTATATATTCGTGATAATAAGTTGTATAATTCTTTAAGCATATTAATTATAAAGATATATTGAATGAAACCATATTTTACAACTATATTTACTAGTTTTTAGTTGATTTCTATTATTCTGACAGAATAAAATAGGTTATTATTAAAAATTATATTAGAAATAAATTTGAATTAATTTAAAAAATTCGGATTTTTTTAAAAAATAAAGGTATTAATTATCCCTTAAAATTCGAAAATTTTATTTTTTAATATAGGTAAATTGACCAAAATACTTTTATGCTGAAATTCGTATTATTATATAATATATGTTATCCTATTGTCCTTACCAGCACACAATAGATGTAAAAAACACATGAACATATATATAATATATATATATATATATATATATATATATATATATATATATATATATATATATATATATTACAAAAAATCAAATCTTAAAAAGAAAAAGCAAGGCATGTTGGTAAAAAAGATGGCACTTCAAACATGTTTTTTTAACAAGATAACAAAAATCTACTACTACAAAAAAAAAAAAAAAAAAAAATTATGATTAATATATTATTAGAGATTGATTAAACAGTCTAAGAAAAATTAGCATATGTGACCCCATAAATTTATATGATTGGCACGTATACAATATTAACGTGTATCCTTCAATATCAGTGTTTATCATGTGTCTTATGTATAGATGTTTTTCTTCTACATTTCCATCCTATTTAGCTCGCAGATAGTTGTTTACGCGTTCCTAGACTGATGTAGCAGACCTTGAGTTTTTCCAGAAACAACGTACCTGGTGATGATTGTTGAATATTCATGTAGTATAAAAATATCAAGAAAAAGGGCAAAAGGGAATAGCTTTACTTTGCCATAATTTATGTATAATATTAATTTAATTATTGCTCAAAGTACTACTTCAGTTTATTGGTAAATCTAACTAGGGGAGGAACCGAGGTAAGAACATTACAAAATGTAGCACACATTAGAAGCTCCTATTGCATATAGAAAAATGCCCCTACAACCATTGCATATGATTTGGCTCTATATATTTCTATGAAATTCCAGGTATGCATGGTATTGGCTTGTGATATCAGAGTCAAACTATTCCAACAATTGAGAAAGATGATATTATGGAATTTAGATTTACTTATAATTATATTGATTTTTTAAAAATGATTAAAAATTGGACTTTTGTAAATTCGATATTTTAAAAACAAGTAATATGATATATTTTAGAGTAAATTAATGAAATCATCCCTGTGGTTTGGTCAAAATTGCACGTTTGGTCCCTAACTTTTTTTTTGCACTCAGATCGTCCCTATGGTTTGATTTTGTTGCGTTTTTCGTCCCTGTGGTTTGATTTTGTTGCATTTTTCGTCCCCTACATACATAAAGTTAGGGACCAAACATGCAACTTTTACCAAACCATAGGGACGAAAAACACAACAAAAGCAAACCACAGGGACGATCCGAGTGCAAACAAAAAGTTAGAGACCAAACGTGCAATTTTGACCAAACCATAGGGACAATTTCAGTAATTTACTCTATTTTAACTCCAAACAACAAATGACTTTCTTTTTGAAAGACAACACCACACCTATATTTTATCACATTGATGTAAATGACTTTTCCTTTTAATAGACGACACCACACCTATATTTTATCACAACATATACATCAAACGGACATATATTTATATTTATTTTCAAAAACGGCATGTTGCTTACATTTTTCTTGTCAAAAAGCAGCAAATTAACTAAGTGAATCACAAAAATGTAGCAAACTTAACTTTAAAACCCCAAAAAAGTTAGAAACAAAAATTGACAAAGAAAACATTATAAAAAAACAAAAACTATCTCCACTTCACTACTAGTCATTAGCTTTATCGTTCGCCGAACTAAAAAGCATCTCCAATCGAAACTCGGAACCCGCTATAGAATTGCCCTTAGTTCCAACTTTATCCAATTCTGCTATCGAAAACTGAAAAAGAAAATCAATAACCTTAAAATTAAAAACCAATCATAGATTCAGTTCCAACATTAGAACCTAACAAAATCCATTAAATTAATTAAGTACCTGTATCAAGTCATTTTCAATAAACCCGGTGTTGAAGCAAACACAGAAGAGACGACCCCCAATGTTCTTTTCATAGAATGTCACACACACATCTCCAGCAACCTGCAAAACCATTATATATATATATATATATATATATATATATATATATATATATATATATATATATATATGCAACGTTAATAATTTTACAAAAAACCTTGATTTTCATAAATGAAGGAGGTTTATTTAATAAGTAATCACACACCTTTATTGTTTTGTCACAAAAGTAGTGGTCAAGGCAGTTTTGTGTCTCTTCTTCCTCGATTTCCGAGTTCCCAAAACCACGGTTTTTCCTAACTTTTCTGCAGAAATTTCGACAAGCATCCACCGGTGAACGATATATATCTCCGGTAACTTCTTGCAGTTCCGAAACAACAAAAAAGATCAACTCTACAGATTTGGTGTCAAAAAGTCGAATCCTCCTGAGCTCTTTGCTACATGGTTTTGGAAGGCTGACTTCTGGTAAACAGCCGTTTGGAAATGTAAGAGATCTCCGCCAATAGCTGACGTAACGCCGTTGACTTGGTGTCATCACCTGCCACCGTTTCCATATTTAATATTATTATACTTTCATTGAAGATTTTCATTATCATAATGGAAGAAAAAGTAAGTATAAAACTTACTCGAAGATAATTTGTGGACCCTTTATGATTTGAATAAAGGGGAAGAGCTTCTTCTGCCAACATGCCGACGTAAACCAAGTAACAAGATGCCATCAACCCGATCCGACCTTTACCCGCCTGTTGAATTTTAAAAAGTATTTTAGTTTTTAGTTTTTTATAGCAAAAAATAATTTGCATGAATATAAAGAATTCCATAACGTATAGAATTTTGAGAATTTACCATGCAGTGGATGAAGACAACATTCTTTGGGTCACTTGAAAGCCATGAATGGACACTTTCACAGAATTCATTGATCATTTGGATCGATGGGGCATGATTATCATCAAACGGAAATCTTTCCACAAGATTGTTGAAAAGAGATGGATCATAAGCTTGCTCTGTACATAAGTTATACACCTACAAGGTAGAAAAATGTGAGAAATAGTAATTGGATTTCTTACTTTAATTTAATACAGGTTTTTGTAATCAAAAGTTTTTACCAATATTACACAAATTGATAAGTAATTATGGCTTTATAAATTGCTAAAAACGTTGTAAAGTCGTTACTTAAAATTGACACTATATAAATCCAGAAAAAACGTTCTTTTTCTATGGAATCGAATGAATGAAAGTTGTAATGTAATCCAATTTTTTATTTGTAGAATTTTTAATTAGACAACTTTTTTTAGAATTTCATGATATTATATATAATCTTCTTACAAAATTAGCCAGCACATATTTTCTTTATTGTAATGTTTTGCTTAATTTTAAGCTTTGTAAATAATCAAATTTATAACTATTATTAAATAATATATAAAGTATATAAGATAAAAAAATTCTTCTGAAATTTTATGATTGATATAGGTCAAAGAAAATATAACAACATAACTAGAATATAATAACTAATTTTTTTACCTTGTAATGTCTTGGATGTTTCTTTTGCAAAAATGCCTTGACTTGTATCATAGGATTTTGATACATAGCTCTCATTATCTCAGCTGGAAATGACATTGCTAAAATGCGAGTTGTGATGTAAGACATATCAAGCTCATAGCTAACACCACCAACAACCACCACCCGCTTTTTCTTTTGTTGTCTTGTTAGGAGTCTTGAAACTTTCACACCCATTTTTTTGTTGTAAACTATATGCAAAAATCAAAATATATTAGTTAAAAATCAACCCTACACAACTGAATCATCTATTACGTTGTATAATTTATAATATGTATAGATATTTTGCTCTTCTTCTATATATACACATTGACCCGTTTGATTGTTAACTTCAACTTAATGGAAAAAATATTCTTTATATTTTTCATAAATCTTTTATGTTTTCTGTGGGGTTTGGTCGTAGTCTCAATCTACGAAACATAGTCAAAACTTTTTATCCTACATTTATAATTCTTAAAAGAACATACTACTACATTCATAGTTCTTAAAAGAACGTAAACATTCGAAGATGTAAAGTTGAGATTACCTGTAATTGATACTGAAACTTAGCCTTAGGTTTCTTGTTTCCTCTTCGTTCTTCTGAGTCTCTTTGTGCGATAGGAGTAAGATACGGCTATTTAAGATTGTTGGTATATATAAGATTAGGGATTCGTATTTATCTCTTTGTATGTATATCTTTATCTCTTGATATTTCCAAATATGATTTAATCTGTTATCGTTTATCACAAATTGACAATTCAAAACTTACAATACCAAGGAAAGATAACTGACATATTACAATTGGAGTACAAATCGATTTCCTATATTCTCTTCTTTAATTTTTTATTTTTTTTTTTAATTTTCACTTTTGCACCCCACCTTTATTTCCTCTTCCAAGTTTAGCCTCAACTATTGTAATTTACGTCTAATTCCAGTGCTTTTTTCCCGGGTGTTACGATTAGAGATGCACAAAACATAGGATACAAGTAAATATAACTACACATTACACTTAGAGTACAAATCATACAAGTAAACATAACTACACATTACAATTAAAGTACAAATCATTTCATATATTCCTTTTTTTTCTTTTAAAATTTTCACTTTGGCAAACCACCTATATTTCCTCTTCCAACTTTATCCCTCAACTATTTTAAATTACATCTAATTCCACGCACTTTTTTCGGATGTTATGATTAGAGATCCACAAATGACTTGGGTGTAACTTAAACAGTATAACTAGTGGTGTGCGAGGGCAAGTGCTTAAAAAGACCGACACCATTCATCTCTTTCGGTCCAAAATGTTTGGCTGAAAGTCAATCATATTGTATTGGCAGACTTAATAGTGTTGGGCCGCAATACCTATATGACAATAGTCAAATTAAGTCAATGATCATCACATGTGAACGATCAAATGTAACTGTTTAATTTGTAATCTTTAACAACTTTAATAAAAATACAAATTTTGCATTATATTGTATAAATAAAAGCATAAATCCTGAAATACATGTCAACGCGATTTCGTAAATATAATGAACGCTTAAATATGATTTTGTATGAAGAAGTTATTATTTTTCGAAATTTCATATCGACATAGATACAGAAATCGAAATAGAGATCGATTACTTGTTATCCAAAACAATGTAAACAAAAGTTGAAGATTTCATATACGAATCCATCCATAGAAAGACGATTGAGAACGGAATTCGTATGAAAAAATTATAATTTTTGTTCAGATTTTAGCAATGTAGTCTCTATAAAAATATGAGTTAAAAATAGAGTGAGAACTAGTTGTTAAGATCTAAAAGAAAATTTGTAGAACATGGAAATACCTATGTATGAATATAAAGCACGTACAAAAACGGAGCTCGTTTGCATAAGATATGATTTTTCGAAGATGTGAAAACTACCAGGTAAAATGATGATGTGGCGGTCTGAGAGCGTGCCACATGGCAGATCGGGAATGCTCTTAACCGCCTCGGAACCAGCTCACCACAATGTGGCGAGCTTATAGCCATGACGTGGCGAGTCACAGAAACAGCTCTTAGCCGACTTAACACGTGGCACGAGGAGGACGTAGCAGACATGAGCTGATCCAAAACTCCACGACGTGGCACTTTCATGGCCATGACGTGGTGAGACATAGATCTCACCGTATAAATAGTTTGCAAAATCGGATGTTTTTTCATAAAAACGAACGCGATTCTTCTCTACTTTCTCGAGATTTCCCCAACCCTTGAGGCCGATTATCTTAAATTTTTGACCATTTTCTGACAGAAGTTATCGTAAAGTGTGCTTCGAAAAGTGGTTCATGGTCCTACTTTTAAACAATTTTAATGCTTTTGGGGGAAAATTTATGCTTGTTATAAAATATATACTCGATCCTATTATAAAGGTTATTGATAGTTTTATAATTATAACCGCTAAATAGTTGATTTATCATTATTACACAATTATATGGACTTATTCATATGATCGGTATTGTTGGTTTTACATTGGTTAAAACATGGTATAGCTCTATATACAGTAGTTGTGTTTCCCGTCAAGTAACTTAGGGTTTTAGACACACATTCACTTACTGTTGGAACTGTTAAATCTCGAAAAGTCTACATGAGATATGCAATTCATCAAATAAGAGTGAAATCTTAGTAAAATCCTCTGACCTATAACAGTTAATCCCGTGTGAGCGAGAAAGTTGTGTATAGATCTATATGGGTTGGCACTCCCAGTCGTTGTTGCTAGCTACAACCCATGGTTTGACGAAACCTACGGGGTGATAAGTTGTCCTTTCATTTGTTGGTCTGATGTCGATGAAGCATGCAAAGTGTTCGATCTGGTGTACTCCTTATAGCACCAAGCATAGGTCTTGAACGTCATATAACATCGATTATAGCCTCATGCAACGCCTATTACACTCCATAAAATTATACTTGTTCTTTATACAAGTATTAATGTGATGTATAAGTCTCATAAAAATTTATACTCAGAGTACTTGAAATGTTGTAGGTATAAAACTGGTGGGTTTTATAGGTTATAAAAAATTACATGTACATGCAGAAAACCATTTAACATTTAAAGGGTACATGAAACCTATAATGATCTATGTAATAACACTTTGAAGGCAACATACAATGAATAATAAGAACCCTAATGAAACCCTAATATAATCAAAATTAGTAGATATGGGGTTAAATACCTTTGATTTCTTGTAGTAAACAAATCACTTCAATTCCTTATAGTTGTTGGTCTTGGAAAGCTTAACATCAAAAGGATGAAGCCTCTAATGGATTTTACCTAGACCCTATAGCTAGAAGGGAAGAGAGGAAAGAGCTTGAGAAATCTGAATTCTTGGGGTGTCGAGAGTGGCCTAAAATCATAGGGTAATGCTTCTATTTATAACTGTTGAAAAACCCTAGAAACCCTAAATTTGAACATATGATAATAATACTTCAAATTTAGTAATTATCTAGTCTTTTAATTATCGAAAAGAACATTCTAGAAACCCTAATAGGGCATGCCAACCCCCCCCCCTCCCCCTGCGGCCCTTTAGAATGTTCTGGAATCCTTATTTTGTTCAACTTTTAAACAATTACAACTCAGCCCTTGCATCTTTAATTAATTCTTATTAACCTCAAATTAATTCCAAACTAATAATAATTAATTCTTAATTAATAATTACTATTTCCAGTTAATATATTAATCACATGATACATTAACAAATTATTTATTACAATTTATTAACCATATAATAAACTAATAAATCATCTTGTCTCTATAAATGTCATTGTAACCAAGTTCTAGTTATGAGGCAACCCAAACAGACTTTTACTTTTAATTACAAGTATATATACCAATTCAGTTATGAGCATAGCCACCTTAATTAAATAGCTTCCCACTTAGATTAGTCTATAATTACAACTCCAAGTATAACCATTAACTAAACAGCAAAGCGTACTTTCCAAAGCCACAACCGAATTCTGATTCATATCAGAAAATTTCCCTAAGATAAGTGATCAACCATTCCTTCATTCTTCATGATATCTTATGGACACAAGAAATGGATTAGAATCAATCTCATTGTCTAAGATTTTGTTCTCAGATTTCCCAATTTGTGATAACGTCATAAGGCTACTAATTGAACACATCAATTTAGTCTTAGCTTGGCCCAATATTATAATGTCAACATCAAATCATTGATGGGCCATAGATATCGATTTTCATGTTAAGGAAAAAGGAACAAATAAACTTTGAATATATAATTTTAACCTTTACTTACCAAATTATACTACCACGTAATATAACATCAAGTTACTAATGCGTTTACGGAATACCAATGCACAACCGATTTGTAAATCACCACTTATGTATATCCGTTCGAAGAATAGAAGATATTATCATCTTAGAATTACTCATAATAAAATCCATGAAGTAATCTCTAAGCATGGGTTTATCTAATACTCAAAATCTCTATTTTCTAAGAACTCATGAAAATTGCAGTAATCCCATTGCAATGTCTAGTCTATATGGACAATCTAAAATCGATTCATGTTAGGACATGATTTGTGGTTTATACTTTACTTTACATAGCTTTTAGAGTTCTCGGTCTAGGATTGAAAACACCATGAATTCGGTGGTGTTTGGACTGAAATCATTAAGTGATTTCGGTTGGGCTTTGAGTTGGGCCTTTGTAATTAGGTCTAGGTATATATATTGTATTGATTCAGTCGTGTATAGAGTTAATTATTCTAGTTGTTGATTTCGAGATTTGAGAGAGACAGAGAGAACCGAGAGACATAGAGAGTCTTATGTACGAGACTAGTGATTAATATAGTGTACATTGAAGATTCAACATTGTGTTCTTATTTCATATTTACGATTTTTGTCATTCACTTGATTGGGATTCCGAACCAATCTAGTGATTTGGATTGATACCTAGATCGGGGTTTTACAATTGGTATCCGAGCTTGAAAAACGACTTAAAGTTGTTTTGGTATCAATCAATTCTCAAAACAATCCATAATTTTTTTTTTTTTTGAAGTTTTTGGTGTTTTGGGGTTTCCTTAGGCGAAAAATCACATTTTCTGCTCATAAGTGTTCATCATGTTCTTCGTTTATTTGGAAATTACGATCAGAATCATCGATTTCGGTTTAGCCTGGGTGATTTCGGCGGCACACTTGAGTTCTCGGCTGGGACAAAGTGATTTTGGCGGTTACTAGATTTCTCAGTCAGCAACTAAGTCAAACATCTAGTTTTTCGGTCAGATGGGGTTTCAGATCAGAGTTTTCGGAATGACATTGTGTTCGATCAACGATCTCGGTTAAATAGAGTTCTCGGTCAACGTTTTCAGTCAAGGGGATTTCTATCAGTAATCTTGATTTTTGACTTTTTGGTCAAACCTAGTAGTTTTTGGTTAAATCGTATACCTTTCGGTTTACAATAGACTCATACAACACCTCTCTTACAATAATGCAAAGTGATCTTGATTCAGTTATGGGGACAACAACTCGAATTCCCCGACTGCTAACTACTGATGGATTTCCTGAGTGGAAATTTAGATTTGAGAAGTATGTTAAGATGAATGATAGCAAAGTGTGGAGAAGCTTCCTAAGAGT